GGAGTCATTCTTTCGCGATTTCGTTCTTCAACCGGTCCAGTCAGTCGCTTTTTTCTTTTCAAGCTGGTCGACGAATATTATATCATGCCCATCCCAAAATACTGATAGCATAACCTTGCTGGCCGACTGTTGCGTCTTTGCACGTTCTGGAGTCAATTCAGGAAGTGCAGTCCACTCAGATGACGACTCAGATGACGGTCAGTTCTATCATATTCTATCAAATGAGATGGATTACCTAGAAAATACTAAAAATACTAACCAGTAAGTGTGCACTTACTAACCATACCATCAAAATATCTATATTCAAACCAAAATTATCCTGAAAATTTGATTCATAATCAATTAGCACTTCGAAGTTTCAAAATGAAAATCTTCAGGACGTATTTTCATATGAAGTTTAGGATGTGATCAAAGCTCAGTATTAAATCATATACACAAGTAACGACATAATGACTCAAACTTAAACTCGCAAAAATAAAGTTTCATTCTACATTTCCAAAACTGCATAAAGAATAATTCTGCACATCCGCTACAGTGAAAATATCTTTCAATATATCGAGACAAGTGATGAGGACGCAAATAGTTATATCCCTATGAATTCAGTTGACTTGATATTTTTTGTCGTCGCATATGGAAAGAAAATTGCTTATTCAGATCCGTACTTCTCGGCATCTTGTTTTGTATGAACTATAAAAGAAACGAGTCCTGCGAAGTTATATTGAATACAAAGTGCTTTGAGAACTCAATAAGGAACACTTGTTAACAGTTAAGGAGCCAGAATTTTCATAAAGAGAAACTAATGGGGTTGGGGTTTATATTGAACAGAAAGGGGTTGTACAATTCTTGGAACTTTTTTGTCGTTTCGGTCCTATTCATTGAAGTGTACAGTGTTAGATTAAGACAATGTTCAGTGCACTGGGGAACAGTATTTTATCGTCAAGCAACTGATTCACGCTCGACATGCTTTGTTGTCATCATCAGCAATATTTTCTCAAAAATATTCGTGAATTACAATCTGATCGTATTTAATCTAATAAATATATGATTATCAAACAGTAAAATATTTCCTTCAAATCAATAACTTGGATATAAACACCTTGACGTTGACAACTGAGAAATTCATTAGTGAAATGGTGGAGGAAACCGTTGATTTTCGACGTTAACTATTTAGTTGTTTCAGAAGCCTTGTCCGTTTTTATAAGCCTACTTCAAACTGTTATGTCTAAGCGAAAACTTATTCATTACAATCGAAATTAGTGCCACTTGAATCAGTCCACTTTTGCCAACCTTACGAAAGTCGATCAATTCCATCAGCAATCAGTTGGCGAGGAGTCTGGCATGTATGGTAGGGGAAGGAGAACTTCGACGCCAAATTCATTTGATTTTCGGACGGTAATTTGTGAAACGTGCGGACGGGGGTTGTCGTGGAGCAGAACTTGTACCGGCTGTTGCTGCTGACGCAATTTTCGGTACAATTCGTCGATTTCCTCACAATATGACTGACTCTACTGTGATGGTTTGGCCGCTGACAACCATTCAGTACTCATAGAGTCTTTTTTGGTGGGTTATCGATTTTGGGAAGTGCATGGGTGGCTCATCGATGTCCAACCACTGTCCTTAAGTCTTCTATCGTAGAAGAGGATGGTTTTGGTTGCGCAAATGCAAAAACGAACAGAACTCGAAACATTGCGATTTCTGTCGATTGTTCATATCGTGGAGCACATACTTCGCGAGCTTTTCGACCTTTCCAATTTGTCTTAAATTGTTAAAAACCTCATGAGAGCTGACGCCCAGGTCTTCCGTCATACCACGTAATGGATCAATTTCCACCAGCGTCCTTAAATCGTTGTCCTGGATTACTGCAGGTTGACCACTTTGAGGCTCATTTCCAAAGATGGAATGTTTGGAACTAAATTTCTCAAACCATCGTCGTACCAGTATTTTGCAGACTTTTCAACCTACTCTATAAGAAAGGAAGTTTTCCCTTGCGTTCAGCCTATTCCCAAAAAGGGCAAGAAAAATCTGCCAAATAACAATAGACCAGTCGCTTTGCTATCAAACGTCATGGAGAAAGTCGTAAACCACCATATCCTCAAATATTTGGAAGGCTTCAACATCTTGAGCAATCATCAATACGGCTTTCGGAAACAAAGATCAACAGGCGACCTTCTATCGTATGTCACACAATCGAGAAACATGGAGAATCAAGAGCTGTGGCGCTAAATATTTCTACGGCTTTTGACCGTGTGTAGCATGAGGGTTTGCTGGCCAAACTTCGATGATATGACTTGTCGAATCATTTTTGTGTATGGCTCTTCAGCTTCCTTGAAGAACGTTTCCTGCAAGTGGCCGTCGATCGATATCTCTCGGATATTTTCACCATCAACGCTGGTGTTCCTCAGGGATCTATATTTTCTCCAACCCTCTTTTCAATGTATATCAATGACTTATTGGAACAAACCAAGGATCCAATATATTGCTTTGCTGTCACTTGTCTCGTCATTTGATTTGGATTCCAGGACATCGGATACGGAGGCACATCTACACCGCCAGCAAGAGGTTGCATATCTTAATGAGGATCTAGAAGTGATTTCGAATTAGGATGAAAGTATCCAGGTTCAATTCAATACCACATAAACCCAGTCACCGGTTTTCTCCAAGAAGATAAATGTCATACACTATTCTACAGGATGAACCCAATTATAGAATAGGGAGTAACAGTGGCATTTACAAATATGTACTTACATAATATGATTTGTGAATTTTTATCAAAAAAAATTAAAAACAGAGCTGTCAGTTAGCCAAGAAATGTCTTGATTTGTATAATCTGGCAGTTGAATATATCTAGGACTTGACTAGAGGTAACGCACATTGTATAAATTGGAGATTTTTTACATTATATTTGTACGCGGAGTGTTGAGATAAAATGTGACACTTTTCCTAGATGATCTTCTAGGAACCCAAAAACTCAACATATGTAACAGTTTAGAGCAGGTGATGATATTGAATAAAAAAGAAATGAATAATATTTACGCCTTACCTCGATACTATAATAATTGTAAGTTACAAGCAATTCATAATAGGGTATTCCTACAGTAGGATATGTCCCTTCAAGTTTAAAAGACATATATTTTAGGAAGCGCCTCTGTAGGGCTTCTCGTTGAACCTGATAGTAGGGACTCTACACGGCATATGCATATTCCAGCCTAGATCGAACAAAAGTGAAATAAAGTAATTTCAATGTTAAATCTTTTTCGAAGTATTTTGTATTCCTAACTGAGAATCCATACATGCGATAAGCTGCTGTTAGAGTAGTGTGAATATGCTTATTGAAAGAGAGGGATGAATCAAAAGTAACACCTAGATCAGTGAGTGTGTCAGGACGCTCCAGAACTTGATTGGTTATGACGTAGTTGTGTAAATTCAAGTTCGTTTTCCGTGAGTAGGACATAACATTACATTTGGATATGTTGAGAGATTATTTTTCCGACACCATGTAGTAACGCGATTTAAATTCAGAGCGAGACGTTCGCAATCATTAGAGCATATTATATTGTGATAATGTTTCTAGTCATCTGCGTATAAAAGAAAATTGACATCAATCTCAGCTCCGATACCATCAATGAATATATTGTACAGTAGGGGTCCTAGATTTGATCCTTGTGGTACACCAATTGTGGCTATATATTCGATAGACTTGAGGCCATTGAGTTGGATATACTGCATACGGTTGCAAAAATACGATTTGAAGGGAGTAATTAATTCATTGGATAACCCAAAAGTCAAAAACTTGAGCAGGATGCTATGGTCAAGTCTGTCGAACGCTTTAGAAAAATCAGTGTAGATGAGATCAGTCTGACACTGACAATCAATAACCTCTGCAATACATTGAGTGATTGTTACAAGATTGGTGGTGGTTGAACGTCAGGTCAGACAATTCCGCTTTCTGCTTCAATAAGCTTGTTGAGGGTTGAAATAGACACCAATATGTCTTGGCACAATGATGTCACTGGAATTGCAAAGGCTGCTCATCAAAAGATTGAAACACTGTTCCAAACCAGAAAACTGTACACACCTCAGCAATGTTTGATGCTATATAAAGCTCAGATCAGACTTTCTTTGGAGTGTAGTTTTCACGTATCGAGCTCTGCCCACAAGCATATCCTGAAGTTGCTGGATTCCATCCAGAAAAGAGCCATCCGCCTGATTGGAGACACGAACATCACGTGCAACATTGATAGCCTGGAACATCGAAGAAAAGTTGGAGATTTATCTCTCTTCTATAGATACTTTCACGGAAAGTATTCAAGTGACTTGGCACATTTGATTGTATCAAGAGCGGTGCATATCAGAAATACGCGACGGACTGTAGCTGCTCATCGTTTTGAGGTTCAACTGAGTACACCTCGAACTTCACTGTTCAAGAACTCTACCATCTAGAGAACTGTGTTAATGTGGAATAAACTTCCTAAGAACGTTTTTGCAAATGAATTCAATCTCCAGCGGTTTCCTGTATTCCTTGTGTTTTGTCCTAATAAAAAATGTTTTCATTAACACTATTATTGCCTTATTCCTCATTGATTTCTCCGTTTCGGCAGCGCTTTGGTTCAATTTGAAATCGTAGAGAAAATTGGCTGTAAACATATAGTGATAAGCTGAAAAGAGGCACAAAATTTAAATTTGAGAGAAAAATAAATAGCATCAATGAATAGAGTACAAAATTCTCTACCAATCACTATAAACCGCGACATAGTAGAATGAATAATCATTGAGATAATAGGCTACGGAAACATATGACATCAAAACGGACAAAAACTTTGAAACAACCTAAAATCTTAGTAATCAAGGATGAAAATTCATTCGAAATCATTGAGGTCTGGGTCAAATCCCTTGGTAACAGTTGATCACACCGTAGTGTTGAAGAACAAATAGTGATAACCTTTCAAAGATGATTAATTTCGAAAAACAAAACACTTCGAGTGATTCGAAATGATTTGGATACTCCGAATGATTACGCCATAATTTGATTGAGGAAAAGAACGCAAGTATTTCATTATAGCTATCTCCGCGCATTCAGTTTTCATGTTGGTTATGAAGACACATATTTGCTGTGAGTAAAAAAGTATATTATCTTTTGGGAAAGAAACACAACTCATTTTCTGAGTTTCACGTTATTATCTACTTTCAATTTTCGGTGTTGAGCATACCGTCGAAATTGAAGTTCATTTCCGTTCGTTTTCAGAAAAAGCACCACTATGAAAATTGTTCTCTTTCTTGCTTTGGTTTACACCGTAAGAGCAGCTCCTACTGAAGAAGATGCTGTCCAGGAATTCACCGATGGAAATCACAGGTTCTCCGCGAATCTTTACAAGGTGGGAAATTATTCATATATTGTATCCAAAGTCATGATAAATGAGAGAATGATACATTGTTCAACGAGTGCAGAAAGTATCGTATTTCACACAATGAGTGAAAGGCGTGGCACGAGCGAAAGTGAGCGCAGCAATCTCACCTGTGTGAAATATGTTATCTGCATGAGTAGCATACTATACTTTTTATCGGATCAAATTGGAAACATTTCCATTCAACTCCAAACTTAAAAAAAAAGAATTGAAAAAGGATTACTGAAAATAATAATAATATCAAGCAAAAATTAAAATAAAAATGAAAAGTTGAGAGATTTCAAGCCAGGTTACTTCACGACGTTTCGATTGTTGGTATCCACAATCGTCTTCGGGTGATGACTGGACTAATTTCTTCGAGCGATGTCTATTTATGGGTCACTTGAATACTTTCACTTATCTCCACTTTCCTTTTTCCGTTTCACCGGTTTAGTGGGGAATGACCATTTGGCGCGAGTTGGCCATTTTTCACTTGATTATGGGTTTCCATAAGTTGCGTATCTCTACGCTAGCTTGGCTGAAAACATTGTTGAACAACATGTACGCGGCTTCATTGAATTTCCTTCTTAACCAATGTTTCTCCATGGTGTATGATCTCAGCTTGGGACCACTCGATGTTATGTTGATAGGTCCAAACATGCTCTGCTTCTTCTAATTTACTGGTTTCTCCACGATGTGTGTGTTTTTTGTGCTCGGCAATGCAAACATTCAATGGCCTTTTAGTTTCACCAATATAGGATTTTGCGCACTCACAGGGTATCTGGTAAAAGCAATTCTTGTTTCCGAATCTTGAGCAGGCTCTGATGTTGTACTTGGACCCAATTTTTCTTATCCTGGTTGCAAGCACTGGTTGTGACACTTCTCTTCATTGCGAGGCTCCTGCTGTCTTTCAGTCAAAGCCTGTTTCACCATCGCTTTGGTGTAGCCATTTCGTTGAGGATCATTTTTGATGATGTCTGGTTTCTTCTCGAAACCTTCCTTGTTATTACAGAGCCTGAAAGCATGGTCTGATAGAGTTTTGATGATTCCTCTTTTAGTCGATTGATGGTGGTTCAGATACTGTCTCGCGTGAGAGCGTTTTCGGTATACAGATATTTCCCACATAGTGTCGGTCCTCTTCACCAATACGTCTAAGAATGGCAATTCGTTGTGGACTTTCTTCTCTATTGTGAAAGTGGTGGAAAGTATTACGCTGTTGATTTGTTTCAGGAAGGCGTCTCCCATGGTTCCATATTATGGAGATGTCGTCAACGTATCTCATTCAGATACGAGGTTTCTTGTGGGCTTCTTCAATGGCCAGAGTTTCAAACCACTACATATATATGTTAGCTATGACTGTTGAAAATGGCAACCTCATTGGCAGTCCCTCATCTTGTGTAAAGAATTCGTCGTACACAGCATCCTTGTAATTCCATAACTACTTCTATACGTACATGCGTTCTATCCTCCAGGTTCCCGTCTTCGGATAGCTTTCTCTGTATTATTTGGAGGGCTTCTTTGACCGAAATGTTGGTGTGAAAGCTTTCCACGTTGAAACTGATCAGTTTATCATGCTGTATGAATTAAATTCTCCCTAGTAGTTCGACAAAATTTCTTGAATTCTTCACGAAAGACAATGTTTTTTCCTGTGATGCTTGTATTATGGGAAGTAAAAATCTGGAAAAGTTTCAAGCAGCCGAATATCTAGAGCTGATGATCGGTCTGAGCAGAACGTCCTTCTTGTGGATTTTGGGTAGTCCATACAAGTGAGGGAGCTTACTGTGGTGCGGTGTTAGCGATAATCTCTCCTTCTCCTAAAAATATGTTGGTTTTTTCAAAATCTGGTACAACTTTCTTTCGATTGTTGCAGTAGGGTCCCGTACGATCTTCGTGTATTGTCCCCTCTGAAGAACTCTTCGATCTTCTGTTCGTAGAGAACAGTATCCATCACCACAGTATCGCTTTCTCCATCTGCAGGTAGGATCCTGATAGTGTTGTCTCTACGTAGGCCGTCCAGAACTCTACGTTCTTCATTGCTGATGTTGGATATTGGAACTGGTTCTCTATCCAGCTATTACCTGATTTTTCATCTGAATTCCTTTGCCTCAGTCTGGTAATTATCTCCGAAGTGGGCACAGATATTGGCGCAATGGCGAAGTTTAGGCCTTCCCTCAACAAGGATTCCTTTATTCCCATGAGCGGGCTGGAACTCATGTTGATGACGTTGGTGGCTTCATTAGTTTTCCAACATGATTATAAAAGTTCATATTCACTATACCGCAGCTAGCAATATTGATTACATATAATGATCTTGAATTTCTGCCCACTTTTCTAATTTGTTAAAAATAAGTTGTCCAATATTGAATACTGTACATTGGAAATTTCATTTGGTGATGATTGACAGACTTTCACTGATATATCTCTCTATCTTTGTGGTCGTTTTCCACACATCATGTCATTCTGTTTGCACCAAAGTCTACCACAATGATAGTTATAATAATTAACCGTTACGGACGATCGTCGAAAACAAGGCCTTGTCTAGGTTTTAGTATCCAACATTGGAAGTTGAGCAATGTTCTGTGTCATGTTACTGAATTTGTTTATTCCAAAATATTGACGTTCGAAAATCCTATACAATGAACATCAATCAAGCACTGCGAAAACCATAACCGGTCAGATTGAGTTTTTGAACGTCCCGAGTAACACGCACAAATAGCTGATGTGAAACCAATCATCGAATCCATTTCAGGAACTAACCAAAGTGAAAAGCGGTAACATGGTTATGAGTCCTTTTTCTGCCCAAACTGTCTTGGCTTTGACTCACGAAGGAGCTAGAGGAGAATCTGCCGAAGAAATGGTATCTGGTCTCTCATTACCATCCACTAACGAAAAGATTCAACAAGCTTTCAAATCATTTCTGCCTAAACTCGCATCTGCACATAAAGACCTGAAATTGTCGACAGCCAACAAGGTGTATGTTGGACAAGGCGTCAAACTTGAAGATGAATTCAAGCAAGTTGCTGAAAACATTTTTGAATCAGGTAATTTCTCTTTTTCTCCAGATGTGGAAGGAAAACCACCAGATTTGAACAACTATATATTGATTTGAATCACCTGGAATGTTTGTTCTCGTTTCAGGTGCTGAAACTGTCAACTTTGCTTCAAATGTCGAGGCAGCAGCAAAAATCAACAGTTGGGTAGAAGATCGTACTGAAAGGAGGATAAAAAATCTCATTGATCCTGTGTCTATCGGTGGTGACACCAAAATGGTTTTAGTTAACACTCTGTATCTTAAAGGTAGATGGCAGAGTCCGTTCTATCGCTACAGAACAGCGAAAAGGACTTTCCATGTTTCAAAAGATGAAACTGTTGAAGTTGACATGATGGGACAAACGGAGTACTTGAAGTACTATGAAAATTCTGCTCTCAAAGCTAAGTTTCTGGAGATGTCTTATTCAGGTGGGTTTTGGCACTTCCATGGTGCACTTTCCTTGCCACCAATGCTACTGAATCAACTCCACACTAGCGGTGATAGTGATTTCATAACGATAGTAATATTTTTTCAAATCATGAAAGATTTTGGAAGAATTGTCAACAACAAATTCAACATTCTTTCAATCTCACTTTCAATTCGTAATGATTGAGGTGTTGTTCAATATATTTGGGAGAAAATGACTTCAAAATTTCGAAAAATTATTAAAACACCTAATTCTTACCAATTGCTCCTGCCTGTTCGTTGATCGTCATCAAGTATTCTGAAGGAATTGGTGAAACCAGTGTAGAAATAACTGAATTTCATTCACCATCTGTTCTCTTGATAGTTTTAAAATATGTTTGAGTAAAAAATATTTTCTCACTCTAAGAATTGAAACGTAATAACATTCCTTCCAGAAAAAGGTTTTTATTAGTACTGAATTATTATTAAAAATAGTCGTTTTTTCTAAAAAAAAAACAAAATCCCAATAATATTCTACCATTAACAGTTGATGGTGGAAATGTGATTTATCAAATGACTGTACTTTCAGGAGGAAATGTAAGCATGGTTTTCATTCTACCAAATGACATAGATGGTTTGCCTGCACTAGAACAGAACATGGACGCCCTGCTAGCTCCTCAACCATTCGAACTGAGAAGAGTGGATGTAAAAATTCCAAAATTCAAAATTGAAACAGAAATCGAAATGATTCCAATACTTGAAAAAGTGAGTTCAGCATTTCACTCGAAATTTTCTTTTTGAATGGAAAAAGTTACTAATTCCAAAATTATTTCAGTTGGGAATCAAGAAAATATTTGATGGAGAAAAGGCTGATTTGTCTGGTTTATCATCGACGAATAAACATCTTGTGATTTCCAAAGTTATCCAAAAGGTTTACATCGACGTTAATGAGGATGGCACTGAAGCAGCTGCTTCAACAGCAGGTTAGTGAATTTGCATCATATAGTAGAAAAATACACACTCATTCTAAAAATAGTATTGGCAAAGTACCCATTGATAAAATACTTCTGAAATCGTTCCTACAGTTGTGGCATATTTCTTATCTATTCATTCCAGTATGTACTCTCCTCAGTAAAAATACTTCTTTCTCTTCATTTTGTGTCTGTGGATTTCGCATTTCTGGTGACATTGATCATCTGTTTCATCCTTTGGGTGCTGATAGTCTTTTCTTTCTCTCCGATATTGTTTCACCTCTACAGACTAATATGCTTTGATCCACCAGCATCTTTTTTTTTTCCTTCGTTTAGTGTAGCTCTTCTTCAAATACTTTGAGCTCATGGTCATCTGCAGAGGTCCTGTTTTTCCGCAATTATAACGGCTATCCTGATTCTCAATCATCGATTCCAGAAAAAAATACATTCTATAAGAACAATCATGAAATGGGTTGATTTTTGTTTATAGTTTGATACCACTCATAGATTCAGATTTCTCAAAGCTACAGCTATCCACCTCAATCTTCTAATAGAATGGAGGTTATGAAATACAAGCTTTTGGAACATCAACGATACTGAGCACTTCCATTTAGTACCACAGTGTGACAGTAACTTTCTCGAAAACTGGAAAGAACCAAGATTGGTTCCAAATTGCATATTCCGGAAGAGGTCCGCGTAAGACAGTGGGAAGATCATTGAGGGCTACCGAAAATTTTTTCTATGACGAATGGAATCATCAACAAACGAAATGGTTGATATTAGAGCGGGTAAATTCTCATTGGATGATAGAGGCCTACTCTCAATATTCAAAATGTCAATGTTGGAACCGGAACTATCGATAAACAAATCATTGGGGGAAATTTCGTCGACACAGTCTTATATATTTGTGATACTGTTCATACAAAATTATGATAATATCCATCATCAACAGAATAGAGCACCACTAGTTGAACTCTCCTTGTGCGTTTTAATGAAGCAACTAGCTAGAATATTTTTATGGGTGGGTAGACTCACTAGACTAAGGATTAGATCTGTATCTGTATCTGTAGAGTAGGAAGGGTGAGTGTAAGCTAAAAACACTTGGGCCACATGTGACCCATTGTACATCCTCACGAGGAGTTGCCCTCCTAGATCAGTTCACACCTGCATAGAGGTGTGTCCAGCCCCATAATATGAATGTGTTTCCTTAGTTAACAGTGGCCAGTCAGGAATCCTACTGTTAAACGTAGATTTTTCCTGGTCATCACCAGATATTTCTTCGGCGCCATCTTCAGGTTAGCCCCTGGTGATACTGGCATGACTGTATCCTTTGATTCCATCCCATTTCTTCAGGGATTGAGCATGGCTGTGATGTTTGACTAGTTCGACAATTGTCGAAGTCATCAGTAGGTGCCACTGGATCCTAAAATTCTCAGTCCAAGAAAACATAATCTGATCTGTCAACCTTAGAGAAGAATAATGTTTCCACTCTTGTCAGTTGACCTGAAAAATTAATGAATGAAACAATCTGAACTCATTTGGTCGGGTTAAGATAGATGTGAGACACAATAAACCCTCTCAGGGTATACACCCTATGCAGGAGGGGAGATAATTCCACTTACTTCCAATCTACCTACCAGTTGTGATCACATCCCTAAAACAAATAATTCGTAATCCAACATCAGACAGTGCTCTTTAATAGAATGTGGTGCTAGGGTGAACTACGAATGAATCAGTTGGCCCCACTGTCTTTAGTATGAGTAAACATGAAAGAAGGCATCAATGAGAGCCTCGTTGTTTATTGATAGTCGTGGTTGGAGTATTTTGTTCCATTCCAGCGATAGAGTTTTCGCAAAGGAAAATGTTCACGACTACTGATATCCATGCTTCGAATTAAAAAATGTATTCGTAGTGAAGCCTAGTACCACTGATGAGACCTATGGCAGATCGCCACAGCGCTGCCTTGTGTTGGATCACACAAGCTTTGTTTTTTGCTCTGGTTTCAACATGTACAGTATCCAGTGGAAATGTGATTCGTTTCGTTCACATTTTTGATAAAAAAAATAGATATTTGCTGTCAGATTCAGTATATCATCACTCATCATTTTTCAGTTGTCGCTGTACTAACTTCGATGCCTCTACCTCCTTCTGGACATTTTATCGCCGATCATCCTTTCGCATTCTACATTAAATGTAACGGAGTAATATTATTTGTCGGCAGATTTTCCAAGTGACAATTTCATATAAGAACTTGAAGTTTGATACATTGTTTTAGAATAAATCCGATGTCAATTTAATTTTCGTTTAGTGTTCCTTCTATCCCGATTCCCAGGATTTAGTAATTTCTGTTGCGCAATACTAAGATGCATAAAATAAGAATCGTAGAAAATGTCCTTCTCGTGATTTTTTTATTCGAACTCCTGAGAACAAGTCCTCCAGGAAAACTATAATTTTTTTACCGACTTGTGATGATGTATTATTCCGTAATTTCGAAGCGTTGTTTCAAATGTTATGTCATAGAAAATTATATAAGAAATTTCAATGGATTTAAATACTGAATTGAATGGTTATCAATATTTGAAAGTTTTCAAAATAAAAACAGTACAAGTCTTGTTATAATGACAACAAATAATAGAGTATATTACATCAGATTGAGAACTAATAGAATATTTGTAAAGACACACCTGTGAAGACACGCCTGACGAAGCCATTACATGGCGAAACACGTGGTGCCTTTGGAAATCTCACAATGAAGTTTTTTTTGAATAAACTAATAAAAGTTTTTTCCTCAACTTTGGTGAAACTGTAGATTATTAAAAGAACTGTTTCATCAGCTGATGTTAGATTTTTTGAAGATTGGTTTTGAAGTCCAGGTGAGATATCTGCAGTACAAGGTAGTGAAACACATCGTGATAAGAAAGGAATCGTGTCAACATTATTACTATATTAATCAATGTGTCACAGAAAGTGACGATAATTTCTTGACTAAGGTTCCAGAATAAGAGTTATTTTTGAATAATTGGAATAGAATATCTAAGTTACTATCATAAAAAAACAATCTATCCGTCTACCGGTGGGTCTTGAATTGAAGTCAAATTGGAAATGATTAGATCTAAATCGTACCTATCTATTCATCTCTCCATTTCCAGCATCTAGAGATACTGGTTTAGCTTGATAGATTGTCGTCATAAAGTAATTTGAAAAAAATCTATCGTATTGAAATCTGGTGACCTTGGGAGCGACTCCACTGATACTCTTTGGCCAGGCCATCTATCAGGAAAGTACTCATGAACACCAAGAGTGACAAAGTGTCCCATCTTGATTTTTATTGTAGCTTCACGTTCGTTTATTGTCACATTGTTCAATAACTTCATTTCGGGAAACTACTACATCAAATTTTAAAAAATGAAGAGCATTCAAAAGAGAAATCGACGATTTTTCATACAAGATATCGCTCGATCTTGATTCCATTGAGAGTTGGATAGGCAAGTTTGTCAGACCATCTCATGACGAAAAAACTGAAAATTATGAAGTAAATAGTGATAGAAATGGAAATAGACATAAGAAAGGACTCAATCCAAGCCCGTAATATATCAGTGAATCTATAATATCTCAGTGAATCCTTATTCCATTCAATAGACATGAGTGGCATTTCAATCAGTATACTTTCGTCAACGTAACACGTTAGCATAAAAAAATTGTGATGGAGATTCGTTGAAGTTGACAAAGGCCGTTTTTGCCTGGTCCTGATTAAGGAAGTTTCTACCAGTGAGATAGTTATCGAAGTGTTTTTGCCTTTCGAAAGTGCCTAGGTGGTTTATCGGTGTTCAACCACTGTCCTGAATGTCTCTTGTTGTCGTGGAAGACGATCCGATCCAAAGAAGGACCATTTCGATAGCGCAAAAGCAAAGACGAACATACCTCAAAACGTGTCAGCAACGTGGGAGCTGACGTCCACTTCTTAGTGGATTACTGCAGGTCGACCACTTCGGGACTTATCTTCGAGACTAATATCTCCAGAACGAAATTTAGCAAACCAACCTCGAACAGTGCGTTCATCAACACTATTTTTCGGGCTATTTCGGCAGCGCTTTGCTTCAATTTGAATCCGTGGGGAAAAATTGGCCGAAAATCGACATCACATAGCCATGAGCTGGAAAGAGGCGAAAAAATTAAAATTTGGAAAAGGATGAACAGCATCAATGTATAGAGTACAAAATGTATAATGAATATTTATTGAGTTATGGAGCTGCAAAAACACATGACACCGGAACGGACAGAACTTTTGAAACAATCCAATAATATTTTACATAGACACGAAATTATTCAAAAGAAACCGAAGGTACATAACAAAAAAATTGAAAGCCCCTTATCAATTTCGTAACCATTTACTCTCGATTCTGATTTGTTGGTGGATTTCGTGTGCATGTGTTTTTGAAGTCAGCACAATTTTTTCGATTTACTTTTTCTCATACCAGTTGCCAAGTATTACAATGAATACACAATAATACTTAATCAACACTTTTTGGCCTGAAATATGCTCAGAAGAGACAGAAGGATGTTTCGCCCTCATATGCGGTAGGCGATAAAGTGGTCTTGACTAGCTACGTGAGGCAAGTCCGGCGAATGGTTTTGGGAAAATATCGAGAGGTAGAAGATGGTTGTGATTGGTTAGCTGGATAGAGATGTGCTGTGAATGGTTCTGGTTCTAGTGTTGAAATGAAGAGTTTTGAGATGTTTTCGAAATAGTTTTTGAAATTTTCTAAACCAGCATTTGTTTAGCTCCAGCGGAACTATTTTTTCACTGAAATTGTTCTTGAGTTATCAGAAATCAGAACTACTGATGGAATAAGTTTCTGCAATGATTACTCCATGGAAAAGCGCTGCTTTGCTTTTGAAAATCAGTAACAGGTTCAGAAGATATGACTAGAAGGACAATATGTTTTTCAGAAAGTTCAAAATTTCAACTTATTTTTTGAAGCAATTTACAGTTTGTGCCCTTCAGCAGGTACCGGGTTTTTTGCCTGCTGAAAGATTCAGATATGTTCAGTTTATTTTGTGAATTGTGGTGAAGTGTTGAAAATTATTACAACCTTCCGGAAATATTGAAATTTCATAGAATTATGAATTGAAAATTATGATTTGATTCAATTCTAAATACATTCGGAAATGAAAATGACGTCAAATATAACATCTTTTTCTATGATGAATAAATACGTAACATCAGTAGAATAAGTAGCTAATATCAGTGTTTCTTGTATATAGCACATTTATAAAATGTCACAAAGCCTTGCAGTTACCAACAACAATTCCAACTTGTCAATTTTCAAATGAAATGTAACTTTGTTATATATATTTTTCACAGGTATTATGCATTTCTTGTCAATGCCTCCACCTCCTTCAGCAGCCTTCGTGGCAGATCATCCCTTTGCTTTCTATATTCAGTCCAACGGAGTGATCCTCTTCTCTGGTAGAATAACAAAGTGAAGAATATAGCAGTATTTCATTTATGAATGATATTCCTGTTCTGTGAGTCTGATGCAAATATTTCACTTGGTAGTACAAATTTGTCAATTTCAGTGAAAATGAGTATATCTCTGAGATTAAAAAATTAAATGATATTGATTAATCCAGTGTATTATTCTTTCAGAACAACTATTTGTGACTTTTAATAGAATATATGAGCTATGAAGATGAGTTTCTCATACTCAACTGACTAGTTATTGCCCGCGGCTTCGTCCGCGTAGAATTTATTTTGTCACAATAAGTTTCGTGACAGAACATTTCGAACAAGTACTCACAATATTTTTTATCAACCCAAAACTTCAGGTTTTCAACTTCAAAACTGACGAAATTCAATACAATGTAGCAATTTACATCTTTAAGGTGAAATATATGGGTCTTACCGAAGCTAATAAGGAGGCCACCTGTTCCAAACCTTCATTTCGAAATCCTGTTCATCCCTTTATATAAGAATCTACAGAAGAAAAGGTTGTTGAGTTGAAATATTTGTCTGCACTGTACCGTTTTCTGGTTCGGAACACTGTTTCAAGCTTTTGAGAAGCAGCCTTTGCAATTCTATCGACATGATTTGGAGACATTTATCTTTTTGGAGAAAACTGATGCCTGGGTCATTGTGGCATTGAATTGAATCTGATTAGTTCCACTACAATTCGAAATCACTTCTAGATCCTCATCAAGATATGCAATCTCCCGCTGCTCATGGAGATGTGCATCCGCAATCGATGTCCTGGAATCCAAATGGAATGGCGAGGCAAGTGTGTGTTATTCGCTTTCCTTGTTTTGTCTTTAAACAAAAGAGAGAACATGGCAAAGTAGCTCCGGCAGCTGTTCGTCGGCGGCATATGGCGAAATTCAATACAATATAGCAATTTACATCTTTAAGGTGAAATATATGGGTCTTACCGAAGCTAATAAGGAGGCCACCTGTTCCAAATCTTCATTTCGAAATCCTGTTCATCACTTTATGTAAGAATCTACAGAAGAAAAGGTTGTTGAGTTGAAATATTTCTCTGCATTGTACCGTTTTCTGGTTCGGAACACTGTTTCAAGCTTTTGAGAAGCAGCCTTTGCAATTCTATCGACATGATTTGGAGACATTTATGTTTTTGGAGAAAACTGATGCCTGGGTCATTGTGGCATTAAATTGAACCTGATTAGTTCCACTACAATTCGAAATCACTTCAAGATCCTCATCAAAATATGCAATCTCCCGCTTCCCATGGAGATGTGCATCCGCAATCGATGTCCTGGAATCCAAATGGAATGACGAGGCAAGTGTGTGTTATTCGCTTTCCTTGTTTTGTCTTTTAACAAAAGAGAGAACATGGCAAAGTAGCTCCGGCAGCTGTTCGTCGGCGGCATATGGGAGTGGATTGATTACTGTGATTCTGTTAAATTTTTTTATAAGGTCCTATTTGGAAAAGATCAGAAACCTAAGGTAGAGAGTAGATGCAACAGTTGAAATAAAAGAAAGACGTACCTACTTTCATACTATTTAATGAGATAAACATCAAGTCGTACGGTACTATTATGCAATTATAACAAAGCATACGATCATATATATTGAACCTTCTCAAGCATACTTGATGAATAACTTGCTGATACCAGTATATATACATATATAAGAAGATATGTACATGTATAGAACCCACAAAAAAATCCTATACATGTACAACTTTCTCGTCAATTTAATGTTCAATTTATTACTTTTCGCTCATTTTTACTGTCCTGAAGAAGCTTCACATTAAAAGCGAAAGCTTGGCAAAGTAAAGCAGAGTTTGATTTTTTGACTGAGAGACCCTGTTAATCTATTTTACCGTATATAAGAAAAAGAATCTATAACTGGCCTTTCATCCAACGTTGATTCTAAAATAGTAACAACCACAGAGCAGATGAGAAGCAGTAAGAACGGAGAAGTGGTTGTATTTTTTTCTTTTCGTCTTGTCACTCGCTAGAAATTGGTAAATCCGGACTATAGTAGGAAATACCTCTGTTTGAGTCAAAGAGGACATTCAAATGGATAAATGGAGCCGAATCAGTGAATAGGAATATTCTTGTGACTCTGGTTAACGTTTCCAAATCCTTCGGAATGCAGGATTAGGTTCAGAAAACTTTTCGTAGAAAAGAAAAACCCTATAAGAATATTCGAGTACATTCTTGGAATAATAAAAACACAATGGAGTAGTGGACTCACCTCTGGTACCAAAAGGGTTCTCTTCTGCAAATTCATCGACAACTAGATATTCCGAAAGACAATAATTTTAATAACAAACACAAAAGGGGACTACCATTATACATCACACAACATGATTCGCTTTTAATCAAAAGGGATCGGTACTACCTATCTGAATTCAATTTTTCGACTGCTTGTCGTTCTCAGGAATAATTCTGCCAAATTTGTGGGATCTCCATAGAGTTCACATACCAGAGACTATCGGAACTAAACGAAGTCTAACAGTTTATTACAAGAAAAGAGAGATGGAATGCGGAAAGGTGAATTTGTCAACACAGAATATAATTTGCGAGTGTACAGGTGCTTCTTGACAATTTACCAATGTACGGCTTTCAAAATAACCGTTGAACGAGTCAGCTCAAGATATAACTATATAGAGTGGTCCAACGAAAAGTATGTACCTTGCTTTTCTCCTTTTTTTTGTAACTTAACGCAAAAATGCTCGGACTGGTCAATTTTGCTTTTGAGGGGGACACATTTAAGATGTATTTTTCTACCTGTGCCTTCAACACCCTAGCGAGGGTGAGTAACAACCCTAAAATTTTAAATGGAAAGTGGGGTCGAGTGATATNACCCCACTTTCCATTTAAAATTTTAGGGTTGTTACTCACCCTCGCTAGGGGGTTGAAGGCACAGGTAGGAAAATACATCTAAAATGTGTCCCCCTCAAAAGCAAAATTGACCTGTCCGAGCATTTTTGCTTTAAGTTACGAAAAAAGGAGAAAAGCAAGGTGCATACTTTTCGTTGGACCACTCGATATACAACATTTATGATTATTTACATGGGCGTGGACACTGTACATGTATACATGGGAGGTAGGTTGATACGTTTTTATAAGATTGGGTGGTTTAGGAAAACTAGTTAATGAATATATTATTATCTTTTGCAGTTCCTAAACAGGGTGAAACATTGATCACCTTGAAACAAAAATATACAGTGAGTGATAACGAAAACGTTACATGTGCTTCGTCAGCAGACCAATATATCAGATTCTTCGTTTGTCTAATAAGTCGTTGATGTACAATAAAAAGAGTGTTGAGACAATATGGATCCCTGGGGAACAGCAGCGTTGATGACAAGCCATAGCGTCGATAGGTGGCCAACAAACCCTCATGCCACACACGATCGAAGGCCTTAGAAATATCAAGCGCAATAGCTCTTGGGTCTCCATGTTTCTCGATTGCGCCATTTCAAATATGAGTGATATACGACAGAAGGTCGCCTGTTGAAGCCTTCCAAATATTTGGGGATATGGTGTTTTACGAATTTCTTCATGATTTATGATATCACTGATAGCAAAGCGACTGGTCTATAGTTATTTGGAAGAGTTTTCTTGGCTTTTTTTGGAATAGACTGAACGCAAACAATCTTCCAACAAGAAGAATAAACCTCTTCCCTGCAAGCCAGGTTGAAAAGTCTGCAAAATACTGGTGCGAATTCATTTGCGCACTTTTCAAGTACGATGACGGGCACTTCATCAGAACCAGACACTTTGTTGATATTGAGCTGTTTGAAAATTCGCCTAACTAGACGAAAACTAATTTTCAGCATTTAGATTCCAATGTGGGAATAGTGGGTAGTGTCTTTCCCAGAAAATCGACTAGAGTAGAGTGTTGAATTTTATCCCACACTTCAGTCAAATATAAATTGAGAAAATAATATCATATTATCAGTAGAAAAATTAGAACAGGTACGTTTATGCATTTTTTGGGCAATGAATCATCAGATATGCTAGATACTAGTCTAATTATTATAACAAATCGGGTTTCAATCAAAATTACCGCTTTCAGATATTAACCAAAATCAAGTATTCGAACCAACAGTGTCGAAAAATCGACCGAAAGAGTTGGACATAGATGAGAAATTTCCTATTTCTTCTCTTCTTGATAAGAAGTCTCATGTTTCCTCCACAAAAAATTAGTTTCAACAATAAATCACCTTTATCTATTTCAAATCGTTTTTGTAAAAAAACTGGGTATTTTGCTTCACAGTTTCATCATTTGCAACATACTTGAACTATACATAAAAATGGAATTGAACTTAATAACCCCTATTCAGGAAAAAATAATAATTAATCGGAATCGACGGGAAATTTCAAAGGAGATTGCGTGTTACTGCTTAACAAATATATGCCTACAGATGATATAATTCATCAAATTTTTCAGCAGATTAGGTATTTTTTCCTAATTGATTGAGGTCTAGGTCAAATCCCTTGGAAACAGCTCTTTTTCTCATTGCCAATTAAACGGAGATAACCTTCCCACAGAAACGAAATTTTTCAAAAGTAAGGTAGGAGGGGATAAAACATATATTCATGTGATTTTCTTCTGTGGTTCAGACTCCGGCATTTGTGTTATCAATCCATAAACGAAGTGAGTAAGTAGAATTATTCATAACAAAAGCAAATACGTGTTTTTGAAATTTTGTATATTCAGAATGCACAAAAATGCAACACTCAGTACCACAAAACTAACTTTATTGTTTTGTTTCACAATTTGACGATCAATCATTAATTTCGTAAGTCAACAAACTGGGTCGGTTATTGGCGGCTTCTGCAGAGTCATCAATTGGTTTTTGCCAAACCTAGTAAAGAGTGAAAACATATAGTCAAGTAACAAGGTGTTGAGTGTATAAATTTCTGTACGACATTGTTGCTAGAGTTGTTGTAAGTAGGTACCCTATTCAATTGAAGATATTTCGTCACATTACTTATTTTAGTACTAGTTGTAAACTTCCGCCTAGCTAAGTATTTAGCCACACCTTCATTTACTGATTTCTGATTTCATTTTTTTATTGTGAATCCTTAGAATATCCTTGAATTTTATGGAACGCTTCAAAGTATTCTAAAGCGGTTAGAATTATTTTTGAGGGA